GCTCCAAGCTCCTTCCCGTGCAGGTCGCCCGCCCTGGAGCAGCGCGGGGAGCCCCCGGAAAACGGGGAGCCCCCGGGACACGGGGAGCCCCCGGAAAACGGGGAGCCCCCGGGACGTGGGGAGCCCCCGGGACGCGGCTCCTCCGGCCTCCGCCGCACCGCAGGTGGGCCCCAGGCGCCCGGTCGGGTCTTACCCCTTTAGTCCCGGTTCTACCCGAGCCGTCCTCGGGCTGGAGGCAGGTGGAGCCTCCAGCTCGATCCGGAGCGTCGGGAATCGCCGCGGCCTCCGCGGAGGCCGCCCCGGGATCCCGCGGAGGCCGCCCCTAATTCCCGCCTGTGGCCCCCGCTCAGCTCCTAAGCGGGCGCCTAAGCGCAAGACCGGCCGCGTCCCGGAGCCCGATGGCAAGCGGCCGCGGGGAGAGGCCGGGGAGCGGAGGCCGGGGGGCCTCGGCGCCCTGGGGCCCCTGACGCCGGCCGGGCGCCAACGGGGTGGCCTGGGGACCCCGGAGGAGGAGGAGGAGGATCGGAGGCCGGAGGAAGAGACGGATCGGAGGCTGGAGGAGGAGGATCGGAGGCCGGAGGAGGAGGAGGATCGGAGGCCGGCGGAGGAGGAGGATCGGAGGCCGGAGGAAGAGACGGATCGGAGGCTGGAGGAGGAGGATCGGAGGCCGGAGGAGGAGGAGGATCGGAGGCCGAAGGAGGAGGAGGATCGGAGGCCGGAGGAGGAGGCGGCTCGGAGGCCGAAGGAGGCTCAGGAACCGGAGGAAGAGACGGATCGGAGGCCGGCGGAGGAGGAGGACCGGAGGCCGGCGGAGGCCTCGGCGCGGCCGCGGCCCAGCAAAGCCCTCGCCGACTTCTTTGGTGAGCGGCGGAGGTTCGGGGCGTCCTGCGCCCTTAAGGGCCTCCTAAGCCGGCCTTAAGCCGGGCTTAGACGCCCTTCGCTCTGGCCCAGCGCCCAGGAAAGGCTCCGGCGCGAAGGCGGCGCCGAAGGCCGCGGCCTCCGAGGCTTCGGCCTCCGCTGAAGGCACCCACGGGTAAGGGGGGCACCCCGGGGCGCTGGTGCAGGGGGACGGGGCACCCCGAGCTCCCGCGGGGACCCCGTCCCGTCCTCGCAGCCCCTCGGATCCCGCCCGGCCTCCGGATCCCGCCCGGCCTCCGGATTCATCCCAGCCTCCGGATCCGGCCCAGTACGACCCGTCCAAGAGCGGCTACCACCCGGTCCGCGACGCCTGCTGGGCGCCCGGGCAGAGGTGAGCACCCCGGGGTGCCCTCCCCGGGCGCCCGGGGGGGTTATTGCCCCTTGGTGGCCTCCGCGGCCGCTCGGAGGAGCCTCCAGGAGCCCGCGGTGCCGTTGCAGGGTGCCCTACCTGGCCGTGGCGCGCACCTTGGAGCGCATCGAGGAGGTCTCTGCGCGGTAAGGCCCCGCCCCGGCCTCCCCCGAGGCGCCCCGGCCTCCCCCGAGGCGCCCCGGCCTCCCGCAGCCTCCCCGAGGAGCCTTGGCTTTTGCCGAGGAGCCCCAGCCTCCACCAGGGAGCTGCGGCCTTCCGCGGCCTCCCCTGAGGAGCCCCGGCCTCCACCAAGGGGCTGCAGCCTCCCCGAGGAGCCTTGGCCTCCGCCGAGTTGCCCCCGGCCTCCACCAAGGAGTCTCGGCCTCCCCCGAGGAGCTGGGGCCTCCCCGAGCAGCCCTGGCCTCCCGTAGCCTCCCCACGCGGAGCCCCCAGCCTCCCCCAAGGAGCCTCGGCCTTTGCCGGGGAGCCCCCGGCCTCCATCAAGGAGCCTCGGCCTCCCTCGGCCTCTACCAAAGAGCCTCAGCACCCCGCCGAGCAGCCCCGGCCTCCCCCGAGCAGCCCCAGCCTCCTTGAGCAGCCCCAGTCTCCCCCGGCCTCCACTGAGCAGCCCTGGCCTCCCCCGAGCAGCCCCAGTCTCCCCCGGCCTCCCCGCCGAGCAGCCCCGGCCTCCCCGCCGAGCAGCCCCAGTCTCCCCCGGCCTCCACTGAGCAGCCCCAGTCTCCCGCGGCCTCCCCCGAGCAGCCCCGGCCTCCTTGAGCAGCCCCAGCCTCCCGCGGCCTCCCCCGAGGAGCCTTGGCCTCCCCCAGGAGCCTTGGCCTTTGCCGAGGCTCCCCGGCCTCCGCTGAGGCGCCGCGGCCTCCCCTCGCGCCGCCCGCAGGCTGAGGAACATCGAGACCCTGAGCAACTTCCTGCGCTCGGTCATCGCGCTGTCCCCGCGCGACCTCCTGGCCTGCCTCTACCTCTGCCTCAACCGCCTGGGCCCGGCCTGCGAGGGGCTGGAGCTGGGCGTCGGCGAGAGCCTCCTCGCCAAGGCCGTGGCGCAGGCCACGGGTGAGGGCGCCCGGCCGGGCCCGGCTTGTCCCCGGTGGTCTCGGGTGGTCTTGGATTGTCCCAGGTGGTCCCAAGTGGTCCCGGATGGTCCCGGGTTGTTCCTGGTGGTCCCGGGTTGTTCCTGGTGGTCTCTGGTGGTCCCGAGTCGTCTCTCGTGGTGCCAAGTTGTCCCTGGTGGTCCCAGGCTGTCCCGGGTTGTCTCAAGTGGTCTCGGGTGGTCCCTGGTGGTCCCCAAGTTGTCTCTGGTTGTCCTGGGTGGTCCTGAGTTGTCCCTGGTGGTCCCGGGTTGTCCCAAGTTGTTCCTGGTGGTCCTGCGTGGTCTCAAGTTGTCCCAGGTGATCCCAGCTTGTCCCGGGTGGTCCCAAGTTGTCCCTGGTTGTCCCGGGTGGTCCCAGGTGGTCCCTGGTGGTCCCGGGTGGTCTCAAGTTGTCCAGGGTGGTCCCAGGTTGTCCAGGGTGGTCTCGGGTTGTGTCACGTTGTTCCAGCTAGTCCCAAGTTGTCCCGGGTGGTCCCAAGTTGTCCCAGGTGGTCCCGGGTTGTCCCAGGTTATCTCAAGTGGTCCTGGGTGGTCCCTGGTGGTCCTGGGTTGTCCCGGGTCCATCTCAAGTGGCCCCGGGTTGTCCCTGGTTGTCCAGGGTGGTCCCGGGTTGTGTCAGGTTGTCCCGGGTGGTCCCTGGTGGTCCCAGGTTGTCCCTGGTGGTCCCGGCTTGTCCCAGGTTGTCTCAAGTTGTCCAGGGTGGTCCCAGGTTGTCCAGGGTGGTCCTGGGTTGTCCCAAGTTGTCCCTGGTGGTCCTGGGTGGTCCCTGGTGGTCCCGGGTTGTCTCAAGTTGTCCAGGGTGGTCCCGGGTTGTCCAGGGTGGTCCTGGGTTGTCCCAAGTTGTCCCTGGTGGTCCCTGGTGGTCCCGGGTTGTCCCCGTGGCCGCCCCGTTCCCGCTCGCAGCCTCCCTCCGGCCTCCCTCGCAGGCCGCCAGCTGGAGCAGGTCAAGAGCGAGGCCCAGGAGAAGGGAGACCTGGGCCTGGTGGCCGAGAGCAGCCGCGGCCGCCAGCGCACCGTGGTGGCCCCAGCGCCGCTCAGCGCGCCCGGCGTGCTGGCCAAGCTGCAGGACGTGGCCCGCATGGCGGGCGCCGCGGTGAGCGCCTTGGGCTGCCGCCGAGGCCTAAGCCCCTTAGGCCTGAGCCTAAGCCCGTGTCCCATTTTCCCCCCGACGCCGCAGTCGACGCACAAGAAGATCGAGGTCATCAAGGGGCTCTTCGTGGCCTGCCGCCACTCGGAGGCTCGCTACGTCGCCCGGTGAGTTGGGTCTTGGCCTCATTTTGGGTGCCCGGTTGGGTCTTGGCCCCGTTGTGGGTGCCCGGTTGGGTCTTGGCCCCATTGGGTTTTGGCCTCATTTTGGGTGCCCCATTGGATCTTGGCCTCATT